AACAAAAGATTTCAACTTTGTTTATGATACAATAGACAATGAATGAGGTACCACTTTGGTGTGAAGAGCATCATGGCGATTCGAGGTTTCAAAGTGTCTTCCCATTTTCCAATTTCTACAAGAAGGAAATAAGTTGAGGATTTGCTCTGCCTTCAAGCAAGGCATAGTTTCTGGCCTTTGGAGGTGGCTAATGAGGGAAATGGAAAAAGGAACATTTTTACTTTGCAGAGGATAGAGCCAAGAGTCACAAATGACTGACTATGTTGACACACAAGAGAGCAGAACCAGGGCTTTGTTAAGGAGCATTTCCCCACCCACAGGGTATAGGATTCTTGTTGCCTCTGACCTTGCAGTTTCATAGTGTCTGTGGACTAGCCATTACTATGTGACCCCCACCGCTGCCCTTTTTAAATGGGAGTGTTTGGGTGGAAGTTAGTCTGCCATGTTTCAGTATCAAATGTTGGGTAGAACAGGAAAGATGGTTCAGAGGTCTCCATAGCAATAGGAACCACTTTGTCATAGAGATTACTATCAGATCCTGGATTTGAAGTCTAGCAGCATGACTGAATGGCCATTTGGGGGTGTCTTCAGGGGAGAAGTGAATACATCATTTTTGAAAGTGAAAGGTGGGGATATGAATATCTAAGACCAAGGTGGAGGACTACATTAAATTAGATGATCATTCCAAATTATTCCCTCTTGTTTTCCACATCTACTGTATCTCTGCACCCATTGCTCTATGACTTACAGTGCTTTGAACAAATGGACTGTACTAGCCTACCCAACTGACATTGAGCTTGGTCATGACACATGCTTTGCCCAATGACATGTGAGTGAACATTTCAGATGCCTGTTCTGAAAAAAAAAAGAAGTTTTAAAAGCTACCATGTCTTTCTCCCACCTTGCTTGTACTTTCCCCTCTGTATGAAGAAGGAGCTGATCCTCCAGCCTTCCTCCTGAAATGATGTCACAAAGAGAAGAGCTACAGCCAACATGCAGCCACCATAGGGCAAGGCATATTAATAAAACTGAAGGGCAACTAGGAATAAGATATGATGCGTAATTGTTTGAAATAGGGATTGAGTCTCATTGGATTATGCACTCTGGTAAAATAGTTAAATTTGCTTTTTTCTTATAAGAGCACTGAACTGAAAGTCACAGGGCCATTGGTCAAGATCAGAAGATAAACATGAAGGAGGGGAGAAGAGAGAAAACTGGAATCCACAGGAAACAGCTAGAACCTGAAGCCATCTCTCACTGGCAGCAATGTTGGCAGCTTCACATCTCTGAACCCCACACATACTGCCAGGGATGCTCTGAAGAGAAGCTAATGGTCCTGTGGCAGATTCACACCCACTTCTGGTCCAGGATTTGTGAAGCTGATCGAATGATCTAGTCAGGTTTAGAGCTTTGGACTCTGTCCACACAGTGAGGCAAAAGATCTATGAAAATGTGCATGAACCACAACAGAGTCTGCCCTATCTTGGCCTTCAGTCAATCAGCATGGCTCCTAATTTATTTTTACCTTTTGAATTTTACACATACTGCTCTTATGGTCCAGCCTGACTAGAAAATAAAAGGAAATGTAGTTTAGCCAAGGTGACACATTACAAAGCTACCACATGGAGAAATAAAAATGTATTGCTATAAACCTCTTAAGATTTGGAGGTTGATTTTTTACTGTAGTATAATTACTGTGATAAAGTGGCTCACCTCTAACTCCTTCCAGATAACCAGCCTTTCTGGATTTGGGCCCATGTGTCTCCTTTTAGCCCTGATAAAATTCTATACCATGTGTGGCAAAAAGTCCAGCCAGACATAGAGTATAGAAAATCATATTCATATATTATTAAGTGCCTACTGTGCACTGGACTATATGCTAATTATAGACACTATTTTACCACAATAGAAAAGCATGGTTCTTATGAATCCAAACCCCAGAGTGGAGCATTATCACAAACATTAAGAAAAATTTGATTCATTAACTGCAATTGTGATACCTGCTCAGAGGAAAAATACAGGGAGCTTTGAACTCTATAATGTGGTCTAAGAGAGTCAGAGAAGTTGCTTAGAGAAAGAGTTATTTGGGAAAAAGATGAGACAAAGGAATAACATATTCAAAGAGCCCGAGATGAGACCAAACTTGAATAAGAAAAGCTGAAAGAAATTCAGTATCATTTAAATCGAGAAGAAATGTGGGATGGATGTGGGATGAGGCTGGAAAATAAGCAGAACTGGACCTCACAGGGCCTCACAGGCTATAGGGATAAAATAGTAAGAGGAGCAGTGGCAAGTCATTGACATATTTAATTAGAAGAGTGATATAATCCGATAGTCAAATGGAAAGGATCATTCTGGTTGTGATTTGGAAAATGTATTGGAGAGAGGCCAAGTGACAGAATGCTGGTATGAAATCCAGGCAGAAAAAGGCAGTAGCTGGAGCCCTGGAAGACAAGATGGAGATAGAGAATATGTCATCTTCAAGACCTACATAGACAACAGTACTGTCTTCTCCCAATTTTTTGGCTTGAGCCTTTGGACAGAATGTGATGCCAAGTAACAAAACCCAAAGTACAAGAGAAAGATGAGACTTGGGTAGGAAGAGAGATCAAAAGTACATGAGGATTAAGCAAGCAAGCAGGTATGTTTATTGGTTATGGTATTTTTAAATTAATTTGTCAACTGCAACAATACACAGCAGGATTTTCCAAAGTGTTCTCACGCATCCTGCTTATAAAGAGCATCCTATGGCCCAGAAGTGGTGGCTACTCCCAAGCACTAGCTGGAAATGCTGTTTCACTCCTACTTGCCTCTACATACTCCTGGGTGATTCACAGTATATTGGAATGTATGAAATACTGCTCTGGAACACAGGTCTTGGGAAATGTTATCTGGCCAAAAATTTCTCCAGGCAAATAATTTAAGAGGTGGTAAAACAATTTTTCCTGTATGTGGTCACAAGGCCAAATATCATTAAAACGTCCATAGTGACCTCTATTTTTTAAAGTCTGTTTTTCCTAGGACCTTTTTGTTCTTTATTTAGGCAGAGGCTAGAACTGGGGTTTGAATTTAGGGCTTCACAATTGCAAACCAGTTGCTCTACCACTTTAGCCATACCTCCAGTCAGTTTTGCTCTGGCTATGTTGGAGATGGGGGTCTCACAAACTATTTGCCTGAGCTGACCTTTAACTGTAATCCTCTCGATCTCAGCCTCCCAAGTAGCTAGGATTATGGGCATGAGCCATAGGTGCCTGGCTAAGGTTTTTGTTAGGAAATGTACTCCTTTTTATTTTCTCCATCCACACATACAGTCTCTGTTAATAGTGGGGGATTGAGAATTCCTCAAAACATAGTTCTAGAAACACCAGTTTCTAGCATGCAGAATAAGAGTTCTGAAGTCAGATCTGCCTGGACTTTAATTAATTTATTCATTGATTCTGTAAATATGAATCAATGACCTCCTATATGAGATGCACTCTTCTTGATGTTGGGGCTATAATAGAAATGGGGGAAAATGACAACATTTTTGATCCCTTTAAAGCTCACATTGTAGCTAAGGATCTTTTTGATCATTACAAAAAAAAAAAAAACTGGGCATGCTTCAGGCTGAGATGTTCTAGGAGGGAATCAAGTCCGGCAGGCGAAGAATGAGGAGGAGTGATGTGGAAGGGAAGTCAGTTACAGGAGGCAGAAGAGCACAGAACTAAGGGAGGAGAGGAAGAAAGCCTGTGGCTATCTGTCCAGGGGCAGAGACGACACTAAGTTCCAAGATTCAAAGCAGGAGATGAGTGTGCCTGAGGACAGAAGAGCAATGGAGCCTCAGCAATGAAATTCCAGCACTGACCCTTGGCACTGATGAGAGGGAGCATTATGTAAGCTCTAACCTTCTGTCCATGTACTTTGTAGAACTGTGTGAGGTTTAAATGAAGTCTTATATATATAGTGTTTAGTGCAGCTCCTGAGTTACAGAAAGTGCTCGAACACATTTGATAAAATCATTACCGCTTGTTAAGAATATAAACCAGGGAGGGGTCCTGCCAGGATTTGAATCCTCCTCACAATTTTGGTTGACTGAGTCCCATTCTATAGAAGATCCTTCCATATTGTACAACCTCAGGAGTGAAGGAGAATTAGATGGGATAAACTTTTCTGCCAACCTGACCAACCAAGGTCTGAGAAAAAAGGGGGTTTACAGACTGGCACATTTGCACTGAAGACTCAGTTATTTTTCATTTCTTTCATCTCACTAGATTCTCCAAGCCATCCTATGAAGCATATATTATTACATTTGTATTTGAGAAAATTGCAGTTCGAAGAAGATAAGTCACAAGGTCAATAACACTGCTAGTACAGTGACAGTTTGATCCTCTGTGTAACTTCTAAACCTACACTCTCTCTAGCACCCAATGTGACCTCACTGTTCCTGGAATGAATATTTCTTTCATCACTTAAATAGCACAAGTGTGGAGGGATGTACAAGCGTGTCAAGTTCTTTAGGTTCTATTAAAACATTAATGTAAAATGCCATCCATACTGTGTTTTTTTAAATCCAACTTTTGTTGAATCGACATTGCCACTCTAGAAATTTTCATAAAACCATGGTCCCATTATTTAACAGTATTCTGACTTTAATAGTATCAGTATATTATCCTTCATGAATTTAAGTGATTTGGACAAAAGAACATAAGTATGCACTAATCATACTTGAATGTGACTAGACATTGACAAACAAGAAGAGTTGCTTTGCTGAGAGATTTTCTCCTGTTCTTACTGCTTACAGTGATGGGTTAGCTCAGAAAAGCATCTTTCAGCAACTGATGCATCTAAGTGGCCTGACACATAGGCTGCAAAACCTTGGCTGCTGGTCCAGGCGACTGTGATCCTCACCAGGCTCCTCAGTTCAAGAGCCCAACAGGAAGTATGATCTCATTCTGCTGCCCTGCCGCTGGTTACGCAGGCTGCTTTTGAAAGAAAACAAGTATTGCTGTAAGGCTGACTTTCCTAAGAACTACACTTTCTTCTCTTCAAGGAAACAGCGCCCAAAATAAGAGGCCACTGAAGTCCAAACTTCTCTGCAGATGCCTGCACACAGCAGGGGTGTGTGTAGTGCCCATTAGACAGGAGGGTAGGACTCCTCTTATCAAGGACTTCTGCACTTGTTGACATTCTGATGCTGCTTTCAGCTGAACAACTTCTCAACCCTCAATTTCTCTGCTGTCAGCCACAGGAAGCTTTGTATTTCAGTAATTATTCTGTCATTTCTCATTTGGAAGAAGAGACCGGGGACTCCCTCTGGAAGGAACATGTATGGGCAAATTATTTTTCAGAACAGATGTGTTGCTTTGATGAAACTGGTAGACAGTCTGTTTCTTGAAAGGTTGTAGAGTTGTAAAGGAAGTTGTGTTCACTGTTACTAATTCTTGATTAACTGTCAGTATACTGTCTGTAAACAGCTACAAACATTTGTAAGATAAAACAATAAGACCTTGCTTTCTGTTGCAGGATTTGCTCACTTAAAAATAAGCTTCATAGTTGAGCAAAACTAATGTAGGGTAATTTGGGCTGGGTATATTCATAACGTATTTATCAAAAATGAAAATGACAAGTGACATACTAATAGATTAGATGGTAAACTATTATTTTATATTCTAAACAAATGAGATTTTATAAATGTGTGCTTTAATTTAAAGATTTTCCAAGGAATGCTAGAGATTTCTAGCATTTTCTAAAGATTTCTAACCTTTAAAGGGCTCTTGTAAGCTGGATTATATGTTTCTTAACAGGTTTGTATATACTTTATTGAAATAATTTGGAGTTCTAGAAATACTAGATTAATTGTATCATGCTTCAAAAAATCTATTACTAGTTATCATTGCTTTCCCATGAGCAGTGGTTGTAATTCAGAAGAGAGTGCACCATCACTTTACAAAGCTATTAGGATAGTGATGTGTGCAAAGCTCAGTGGTCACCATGAGGTAGACTATTTGATGAGGTAAGTGATCAAAGTTTACATAAACTACACACTTTGTTACGTGATTCATTTGTAATTGAAAAGACAAATTATATGTTCATGGGAACAGTTTTGAGATCTTCCCAGTGTAATATTATCTTTAGCTCAATGCCACTTATGCTATTTAGGAATATCCAAGCTGATAACAGGCTATAACAGCTATAAAAAAACCCATGGAGCCTTTCTAGGACCACTTGTCAATGACTTAAGTCATTGGGCAAAAGACAGACACCAATCCCTCCCTAAGCAGTGTTTGCAACTTGATAATGAAACTGATTTGTGCCAAATGATTTAAATACAAATAAGATTTTTTGGAGGGGGGAGGGGCAGGAGGTGGGCTCTAGAGCCAATCAATGTGTTCAGATTTCTTAAGTAACTCACTTACACTATTTTATCTTCATGACAAATCAACCTTTGTTAAATGTTGTCTGTCCAAAAAAATTCCGCCCTTATTTACAGAAAAAGATTCATCAGCCTTGCTAAGAAAGACAATGGGAAACAGAATACCAAGTCTTTGAGGCAGACCCAACCCTACTGAAGTCTTGCAATCTGGTCTCCTGCCTTCAACCCTCCATCTTTGTACTATTTCAGCAAACAAATCTGACTAGTGCAATTAGTAGATGCCATCTGTTTTGGCATCATTTTTCTATTTTTAATATATAGTCCATCTTTTTTTTTAACATCTTTTGCAGAAAATCTGTGAAGTTTGAACGAGCGGCCTTCCCAAGATGTACTGAATCTCTCAACTGATGTCAACACCAGTAGCAAATAAATGTAGGAGAACTGCTATGCGCAATTATCTTTTGAATGATTAGACTCCTTTCAGCAATTTCCTTGCTTTGATTTTGCTGATACTCAGACCATTAACCATCTGTCAGTAGCTTTGCTTCTTAAATGCCAGGGTGCGCTTTGGCAATGATTTTGACTTCATTTCTTTCCTTGAGAGAAATGTGGTATTTTTCCTTTTAGTAGGAAAAAAAATCACCATTTTTAGATGCTTGTGCATAAATGTGAAAGGAGATTGTTTATCAGCTACTATTAAGATGCAAAACTGTTTGTCTATAAAAAATGCTAAGTGATTTTGATAGCTACTTGCAGAAAATAAGGGCGTTGTTAAAACGGTAGTGGTTTTGCTTCTTCCTTCCTCTTGTTATTTTCTCCCCCAACTCCACTTCTAACCCTCCCTCACACACCCACAATTTTCTCCTTACAAGCCAACCAGCCCAATCCCAAAGTCTAAATTCCTTTCTTTGTCTTGGGTAGTAATTGACTGTGAGGGAATCAAGTTTCACTGAGGGTGGTTATTAGACTTATTGGTACCATCACTGCACATGATAAAATTCTGCTTTAGAGTTTAGACTATCAGCTGCAAGTCTCTCCATGTGAAGTTCAGTGCCATACCTGGAAAAAAATGAGTGGATGCTCTGTTTACTGAAGATTACTCACAGGCTTCATACACTGGAAAGTCATGTGAACAAAACCCCAAAACTTTTTTTTTCACTGCTAAAGTCTTCTGCTCATTACCTTAGAGTAGAAGTATCTTAAACGCACTGATGAGAGAGAGTCAGGGCCAATGATTGAATTTCTCACAATACTGAGTAAGTTACAATTACACTCTGGGTAACTGATTTTACTTTCCTCCAGCTTCATGCAAAATGTTTTCTTCCTTCCTTTTCTAAGCTCAGTTTGATGCTAATGATTTATTATTGTTGCATCCTACACCAAGGAACCTCTAAAGCACTGTACAGTATAAGAGACAGAAGACAGGTGCTCCAAAATCATTTCATGCTTCTCCTAGGGGCTTAGTGACAAGTTGTGTCAGGCTCGTTTGCTGGATGACTGCACTATTCTGAATGTTTCTGCTGAGACTGGGACATCAGCTATTCACACCTTATGTGCTAACACAGTTGATGATCGATTGTGCATGTTGGTGAGGTGTGAAAAATTCATCTGCCATTTCTTATACAGATCCCTCTAGAATGGACAGAGAACATGCTAGAGAGCCATCCCCCCACGTGCATTTTCCCAAGGTATGGTATGAGGTTTTTCTCAACCGAATCAAATGATCAAATTCCCTTCATGCCTGTCTTATTTTGTCCTGGTTTTAAAATACCATTTTATCTGTCCAGGCTTTGTATAGTTATGTATTTTTAGCCCTATACCCAAAGAAAATGAAAACTTGCTTAAATCTAAGGATGGATTGATTTTTTTTCTTTTTAGTGTAAGTGTATAAGCATGTGTAATTTATTTCTTTGTTGAATGAAGAAGCTATAATGAATACTGATAGATGGTTATTTTTTTATCAAATAGATGTTCTCTTCAATGTCTTCCTGTCTCATTTTACAAGAGTCACAGTATTCTACACCCATGTACAAGTTGACCAATTTTATGCTCCATTTATATAAGTAGATTCTACTATTTTGTACAAGTACTACAATAGAGTCTCGGCTTTTTCTTTCTTCTTTCTTTTTTTCTGAGCTTCTGTTTGTCTTTCATTCCTTCCACAGACATCAGCTGAAATTTCCCCCAGCATTTTGTGAAATATGCCATAGTATACAGGGATCAAGCAACTGATATTAGAAACTGCACCTGCCTATAAATTCTAGGTCTTCTATGTCTCCTGATACTACCAAATGAGTCAGCTAAGGAAAACCAAGCAGAAAAGTGGAATGAACTCTTATCTTAAGAGTCAGACTAACTAGGGTTTGCATCCTAGCTCTGTGCATATTATCTATATAAAATAGTCAAATAATTTTACCTTCTTCATCTTATTTTTTCCCTGTTACACAAGAAGGGTAATAATGATACTTAACTTTTAAAGAGATTTATGAAGAGTAGACAAAGGGCAAAATTTGGGGCCAGATCAATGGTAAGTGTTCAATCATAATATCAGTTAAAATACTATTATATTAATAATAAGCACATATATTGAGTATAGGTTTTTAACCTGAAAAAAATCAGAAATTTTGTAAAGGATGAGCAAGATATGCAGACAGATGAGAGACATTATACAACCTATCAATGAGTGTTTAATTACATAAAAAACTCTAAAGGCCCTAGTGGTGTTTGTCCCTTAACCTACCTCATCCAACCTTTGTGCTATCCTAGGATGCATAAACTCTAGACCTTGTTAGTCATCTCTCAAGACAAGAAAGGACTTGGTCTTGGAGAAGTTGAGCAAGTTGCTGGGCTTTGTGATGAGGTTGGGTTTCTGAAGCCAATTGGAAGGGACCTGCTAAAAATAAACAGCTACTACAATTTTTATAGTAGAATTAAAGCAATAGTCAAGATCTACAGATAATGTGTAATCAGCTTAAGATGTTTGATATTACTGGAGTTGCATCTCTTTCTTTTTACTATAGTCTCGATGCTGTTCATCTCCATTTTGTTTACCATAAAGAGAAGAGTCAATGTTAAGGGCATTAAAAAAGAGAGATGACCAGGGGTTAGAGAGATTGTGGTTGAAATTCGTTAAAAGTAGAAACCTCAAAAATTAGAATGCAGATAGAAATATAGGTCTAGATATCTGTAATCTCCTACGTGTCCAGTGTATTATTGTTACCATACTAATTTCTGAGTATGCAGAATGGATGAAGAGGGAAAAGGAGAAGGGAGAGGCAAAAGATGTAGCTCTTTATCTTGTCTCTCTCACTCAGCCTTAAGATCTTGAACAATCAACATCTTACTGGAGTCTCCCTTTTCTTATCTGCTAATGGAGGAATGTTAAGCAAAATGTGCTTATGAAGTGGTTTAGTGCATATCTAGAAAGTAGCATTTCCTGGTGTTTCCAGAGTCCCAGGTCTCTACTTGTACTATTAATATTTCATCAATGATTTGAAGTATGGACCTATAAACACCAATGGTAACATTCATGTAATGACATTGAGTACAGTATGCTATAATTCAAATAGAAGACAAAACTATGAGAACACATACTGAAATAGTAGCCAATAGATTTAGCTTAGAACACTTAGAATATGGAAGTCATACATGTTAACAACCTTCTATTAAAGTATGAAGTTTTATCCTTACAGCAACTCTGTGCGGTTGGTTTTGAAAACCCTTTATTGTACAGATTCCTGTTTAGATAGAAATTAGTCTTCGAGAGAATAAACAACTAACAAGTAGCATAATCAAGATTCTAACTCCCAGTATAAACCTAGCTTTCTCTAGATGCAGAGCCTTTTTTTCTCAGTCTTCACTATATACTTACTTTCTACAAAGAAGTTGGCCACAAAGTCTGAAAGAGGCAATATATATTAAATAATATGTGGAATATACTGCAAGTTGATGATGGATTCAATGTTATAACAATGTGTTGGTGACTGTGGGTAAAGAAATAAAAGAATCAGGCTAACATGACTTAGACTTAATCATTAAAGACATAATTCTATAATGAGAGAGTTTACAGTCCCAATCTCCTCTGGACAGAAAGATCTAAATGGCAGGGTTCCATGCATGGTACATGAAAGAATGCTTTAAAACCTGAGAAATAGGGGAAAGCAGTAATGATATGGCAGTGAACAGATCACTATCACTCTGTGCCATATCAAGTTGAGTTAAATGAATCAGAAGACTTTTAGTATGGGTAAAAGAGGACCCACACAGGATATGAAAACTCTTCAGGTAGCTAACAGTTCTCAAATGTGAGCTGGGAGGAAAATGAAAACCACAATTCTTTTGTCATATGACAAGAGTAAAGACATGGCCTATGGCATTAAAATCAAGGGGAGTGAATGGAGCAATGAGCTTCCAACATCCCAGAAAGGCTGATTTGCAATGTTTCTCTCCAAGAAAATGGATTACTGTCAAGAGATACATCCTATGGTAATGAAACTGATTAGCCACAGTGTTGTCACCAAAGGTTAAAATAGAAAGAATCACTAAATTTTAATGTGGTCAAAACCCAGAAGGTTAAGAGTGACATTCTTTTAAGGGTTGCAAAGTAATTGGTAGTCATGAATGTGAACAGGTGGGTTTTCCTTCACATGTGGCTTTTGTGTGGCTACACGCACTGAATAAAGACTTAGAGGATTTTTCTTTTCCCTCTGTAGCTTTGATTTCCTTGATGGTGACATTTCCTTTGAATGCTGCACTATAGATCCCCTGACAGGCTGCCACTGTGCCTGCCGCAGAAGTCCCAGACTCCTCACCAATGGCTACTACATTTGGACAGAGGATAGTTTCCTCTGTGGTGGAGATGGCAACATCAGTTTGAACCCTTCTCAGACCAGTGTTATGTACAAGGAGAACTTAGTTAGGTAAGTAAAGAATGTTAAGTAAAGCCATCTTGAGTCTGTTACAACTATCATTGATTCATTTATTCACTCAACAATTACTTATAAGGAGCTTATTATTACTCCAGATTGTGGAAACCAAAGGGCAATCAATGTGAGAACAAACGAAAGTGAAGTGAATCGATACAGACATGGGGAGAGAAACCTGCATGGGGCACAGTGGAGGGAAAGGGAAAGACGCCATTTCACTTGGGAAACAGGCTAAAAACAAGCTTCAGGTGGTGATTAACTCAAGTCTTAAAAGATGTAGCACACCAGTTAAAATAAACTAGGAAATGGAACTTTTGGGGAGAGGACACAGGCACGGGATCCTGAGAAACACTGATATAATTAGGGGAATGCAAGTAGCTTGGTAATGATACAAATTAGGGTGGGAAGGGAAGAGGCACCCTGAAAGAAAGAAGGCTGAGCACAGAATCATGGGTGGAAGGGAGAAAGTTAAGTATCAGTCTGAGGAGTTTGGGCTCTCTTCTGTAGATAGAGAGGTGTTACTGGCAAATTATCAAATTGAGTCTTAGAGAGATAACTGTGAAGATGGACTAGTGAGAGTGTGAATATGTAAGTAGAGAGTGAGCAGAATAGGAAAAACCGAAAGCAAGGGTCAATACATTGAAAGAAAGTATCAGTATCAAGGAGAGTGGGGCGGGAAAATAGATAAGTGAGATGTAAGAAGGTAGGGCCTGGTAACCATTTGGGTGTGGGAATTTCCACAAGGAAAGGGTACTTGTGTGAAACCAAGACTCTGGCTTGTCACCTGGATGAATAGTAGCACCATTTAATGAAGGAAGGGCATTTTTTTGAGAAAGAAGATAAATGAGTCACTTCGGATCAGTGAATTTGGGTAATCACATCTACTTTCTTTTGCTTCAAATCACCTACATGTGGATTGTATCAGTCAGCTATTGACAAAAAGATGGTGTGTAACAAACAATGGCAATATCTTAGTGACATGTAACAATGAATACATATGTTTGGAAGTTAGCCATTGTACGTTGATCTAGTCTGGATTAGACTGAGTTTGACATTAGGTTGGAATTATGTCAATTTCCTTCATTCCTCAAGGCTACAGCATAGAAGTGCTACAGTAATCACATTGTGTTTAGTTTTCACAAAAAATTACTCCATTGTCACAAACTCTATTATTTTTATCAACTTGCTGCTTCCTGAAACTGATGGCAGAGAAAGTTAAAATAAAGTAGTTTCTCAACCACAATCCAGTTCACATTTTCTACCAGAGGATTCTTTGTTGTGGGCAATTGTCTTGGTCATTATGGCTTTTTAACAGTATCACTGGCCTCTAACCACTATTAGCCTCCTCTTGGTGTAATATGAAAAGGAAAGGTCTCCAAAAATGGCCAAATTCTGGTCAAAATCATCCTGGCTGAGAACCATCCAGATAAGGATGCACAGGGCTTGTTGTAATCCATCTAAACACCAAGGGAAAACCCAAATCAAAATTCATCTTCTGAGAGCAGCTGCAGACGCCCCCACAGAAGAGCAGAATGTTATAATAGGAAAAGTGTCTCATTTCCTCTTTGCACTTCTTGGCTTCAGTTCAGGTCCTCAGCATTTCTCACCAGTATAATGTGTTTCGCACAGGACTTGGCACATTCCAGGCAGGCACAAAACAAAAGTTACTGAGCTGTGAATTTTGACTAGCCTCTCTGCCCTCAAGCTTGCTCCTCCAAGTCATTCTCCCAGGCCAAGAGCCTCTGGGAAATGCAAACCCTACCACTTCACCACCTCTCCCCTCCCCGCAACACTCTCTTGTGGTCTCTCTTTGGCTAACATTAAACCCCATCTCCCCACAAAAGATACAAGACTGTTCATTGTCTGCCTCTTTTGCCTCTCCAGCTTCATTTCTTAGCATGATCTAATGAAAGACCTACTTATTCTCTAATGATCAGGTCAGATCATCTTACACAACTTACAACTCAGTTATCCCAGAAAACCTGCTTTGATCTCAATTAGGATTGCCTTTCCTACACTTTCAAGGCTCCTCGAAGGTATTCGTGCAGAGCACATGTCCACACTGTAACATGAAGATCAAGAGTAGAGATTGCGGAACCAGACTGTGGGTTTGCTAATCAGCTCTGCTCTTTAATAGCTGAGTGATATCAGCCAAGTAACCTTGCTGGGCCTCACTTTTTTGACCTAAAAATTGGGGGTAAGAAGAGTACCTGCATTATGTGGCTGTTCTGAGGATGTTGTGAGTTGTCTATGTAAACCGCAGAGAAAGCTACCTGGCAAAGACTAAGCTCTAGGAAAACATTAGATGTATCTGCATTATTGTTTTCCTTCTCCCAGAGTAAATTGTGATCATTGTGTAGACATGGTTTTTGTCTTTATCTCAGTACTATTGAAATCAATCAGAGACCCCAGAACACAGCAGAACTTTAAGAAATATCTGCAGAATTATTGAAGGGACCAGACTTGAGATGCAGAGATGTACTCTATACATCAAGCATTGTCACCAGATTGTGATTTAAAACTAAGCTTACTGCTACTGTTGTTTGCCATGCTACATTATTTCTTCCCAGAATATTTAGAAAGAAAAAGAGAATCCGCCGTTCCTTTTCTTCTCTCTTCAACCTCAGCACCTCTAAATCCTGGCTGGATGGAAGTATCTTTGGTGATATCAGCTCTTCCCCAAATGAAGACATCTGGTTGGAAGGAGTCAGAAGGCTGGACACGAACCATTCTGATGAAAACAGTGAGTTTGAATCTAGCTTCCCACAGTGAAATGTCATTTTCAAATGGGGAGTGGCAGCTATGTGGTCCTGGACCGATGTCCAATTCACAGATGACAGTCATTTGATAGAGGGAATGGGCCACATTTAAAATTTCACTGTTGTTTTTCTACACTACTAGTGTGACTGAAATACATAGGTGTTCATGCAATGCAAAACAGCCGATTTTAAACAGGTACATCACTAAGTTGCTGATATTCAGAAAATATTTGCACATCTTGAATTTTTCTGCATATGGGTGGAAAAATGATACTGGAGTTAGATTTAGAATCAGTATAATTTAGATCTAATGCAGATTTCTGTATTAGAGAAAGTGTCCTAGAGTTCAAGTCCCAGTTTGGGCACACTGCAACAGTTACTTTGCTAAGCCTTGATTTCATTAAAAGAAAAGAAACATACATATGTGTGTATGTGTGTGTATATACACATATATGTATATGTAGGCACATATATTTCTATTGAAATAGGTTAACATATGTATATATGTTAATCACTACATAATAGGAGTATTGGTAAATATGTGCTTATGTATGGATACATACAAACACAGTGTTGCATACTCAAACTATATTCTCTTATTTGTTCATTCATTCAACAAATTCTGATTGCCTGCTCTGTGGGTGTCACTGTATTAAACATACATCTTCATAGCTGAATAAGAAAGGCATAGCTCTAACCTTGGGAAACTTCTGGTTCAATTCTCCTGCAAATAATTGCAGTAGAATACCTTAAGCATTCTAAGTTGTAAGCAGAGTGTGGAGAGAATGACAGAGGGAAAGCCAGAGAGGCAGTTAGTTCAGCCTAGAGGAGGCTCGGATGAAGGGCTTCAGGAGCAGGTAACATTTGAGTTGGTCAGGAATAAGCTTGGATATTCCAGCTTTCCCATTCCCTCTTCTAAATTGCTGGGAGCATAGACTTTCCAAGACATGTATGTGGCCTAGTCATTCTTAGCACAACCTACAAGTTCCTTTGAATATTTCCTACTTCTCAACCAGAATTAGCTTAATTTGTAGGGTCCATTGAAAAATAAAATTCAGGGCCTCTTGTTTAAAATACTTGAGAATTTCAAATGTTAACAGCAGAATGTTATCCCAGGATGAAGCTCTTCTTACCTCGGGGCCCTCTGAGCATTTGCACTTGTCCCAGACCCCTGTCTCTTGTCCTGTCTTCAACTTCATCTTTCTTTCCCTTAATGCATTTGACTCTGATTACTGTAATTTGCCCCCAGTTTCCTGAATGAACCATGCTCTTTCCAACATCTATGGCTTTTCTTAGGTTGCTTAGTCTACTGAAATTCATTCCTTCAGTCTTGTAAGATTTCATTGAGGACCAGCTACCTTCTAGGCACTATCTGTACACTACACACAGAGAAGGGCAAAACCAACAAAAACCCATTGTTCTCATGGAACTTGCATTTTCTTTGGAGAAGGAGCATGCTAAAACGTGTGGGTGGTATGGAAAACAATCAAAGGAGATATGATGAGGATGTGAGTTTACATTAGGTGGTTAGGGAGGCCTCCTTGTGAAGACTTTGAATATGGACTTAAAATCAGGAGCAAAACAGTTAAGTAGAAGCCTGCAGAGGAAGAATCCAGGCCCAGTAAGTGTGAGAGCAAAAGCTGTTCACCAGGAGGATGTCTGGGGCAGAGCAAGTGAGAGGAAAGGATAGAAAAGCAGCCCAGAGGTATGTATATGTGCTGCTGGGAAATGGGTATGCCAGTGAGGAGGGACAAGGACAGCTGGAAGCCCATCTCAAAGGCTTTGGATTTTATCAAAGAAATGACATGATTCCATTTCCACTTTGACACTCTAACTCTGGCTTCTGAGTTCAGATTCGAGCTCAAGCATGAGGCAGAAGAAGGAGACTGGTTAAGAGAAGGTTGGGGTGATTGGTGTGGGGGACAATGGTAGCTTGACTAAGATGACACAGGGTGGTGATGAGAAGGGTGGGATTCTGGACATATTTCAAAGGCAGAGTCAATAGGCTTTGCCAATGTGTGCTTTAGGAAGAAGAGAAAGAAGCCAAAGGCATATATGCCAGGCACCGTGCAGTTTGTCTTGATTAAGCGTATTGCCTTGTTTTCACATATCAGCTCATTTTCCAAACCCTAAAAATTAGGTCATGCTATTGTGTTTCCTATAGTTAGAGTAAAACTGAGGCTCAGAGTTAACTACACTGTCCACATTCATTTGACTTATAAAGGGTAGAGTTGGACTTCGACCCAGGTCTGTCTGGTTTGAAAGACCAGATTTTGATCTTTTCTACAAAAGGTTTTGCTGTCCTTTCTAATGTCAAATTCAGCAAGTACTTCATAGCTCAAGCCCAAAGAGCAAGCAGCTAGAGTCATGTAATACAATCGTAACATTTTTACTGTGTAGTCTTTATATGTCTGCTATTTCTCTCAACCTGGTTCCTGGGCACAAAATTCAAAAATTACATTTTATTTTTAAGTTTTTAAATTTGCAGTAATTATTTTAAAAACACACATGAAATTGTGAGAAACAATAGAGGGCCTCTGAAGCACTGGTCCAGTTTTTCTCACTGGTAACAATTTATACAGCTACAGAATGTTGTCAAAATCAGGAAATTGATACTGACAATACCACGAAGACTCTAACAGATGTTACATGCACGTGTGTGTGTGTGTGTGTGTGTGTGTGTGTGTGTGTGTGATATTAGATTCATTCTGAAAGTAGAATAAGAGCTTGTTCAATGAAGAAACAGTCTCTTAATTTGACCAAATGTTCACTTAAACCCAGTATGTTCTAGTGCACTACGATGACAAGAAAGCATAAGCAGGATGCCTTAAAAAGAAGGGGACAAGACATAGAGGGTAGACTTGGAAAGCTGGACTGTGGATGGTTGAAAAACCTTCTGTGCCACATTGAGGATTTGGATTTTATCTAATGAATCAGGATAATTTTGAAGGCTCTTAAGCAGGATGAGGACGGATCAGATTTGGATCTCTCTCTTTCTCTCTCTCCATGCAGAACTGCATTTTGAACTCAGGGGTTTAGACTTGCAAAGCTACTCTACCACTTGAGCCACACCTGCAGTCTGTTTTGCTCTGGTTATTTTGGAGATGGGTGTCTTGCTAACTATTTTCCCTGGCTGTTTTTGAACCGTACTCCTGCAGATCTCAACCTCCCACATAGCTAGGATTATAGGCATGAGCCACCAGCACCTAGCTCAGATTTGGATTTTCAAAGTTACCTTTCTAGTAACATACGATGAATATTGGATGAAGAGGAGCAAGCAGGAGCTCAGAGCCATTAAAACCAAACAGTACACTTGGAATTGGCCCTGGAAACGGAAAGGGAGGAAGAGATTTATGGAATATTTTTCAAGGTCAAATTGACAGGCTGGTGACAGATTGACTGAGATTGTGAGGAAGTGGGAGAAAGCAAAGAAAATGGATGTGTTAAATTTGGGGAATTGTGTGAACAGTTCTGCTAGTCACCAGGGCCTAGAAGATAACATGATGAAAAGAATAGTCTTTGAAACTGATGACCAGAGTTCAAGTCCTAGAATGACTTTTTCCTACCTAAGTTCTTGGGAAAGTTAATTAACCTCTCTGATCTTCCATTTCTTCATATGCACAAAAAAATGCACATAGAATTGCTTTGAGGATGAAATGCAATAATTTATTAAAAATCACATGAAGCAGGTAGTCTGCTCAATACACCTTAGCTTTACAAAGGCAAAAAAATGCAGAGTGAAGAGAGGAGATGAGACAATGAATCTTATCCCATAAGAGTTGAGTTTGAGGGAATTTTGAGACATAGATAACCGGAGTTAGGAAGTGAGAGAAAAATTTAAAAGAAGGGATCTAGAGATATCGATTTGGAAACCAATCTGAGAAGTAAAAGAGGACTCTGGAATAAGGGAGTCAACCAGTGCAAAATGAGTGAATTAGCAGAGAGGAGAGTTAAGAAAAGAATTTGAGAATGTTTCCTCATAGTAATGAGTATGTGGACCAGTGCCAAACCACCAAATCCACATATGGCAGTCATTGTAGCTCTCCAGAGCCTATGAAGGACGCATCATTCTTATCCCTCCTTTATAGAGCAGATGAGATACTTTTCATGAGTCCACACAGTGAGGAAGTAGCACAGCTAAGATCCAATGCATTAAGTCTGAGTGTGTTGCTGTTAGGTTCCATGCTACACCAGGGAAAGGCTCTCAGACAAATGAGCAGAGGATCCTGGACGATCAAAGTTCCTAAGCGAAGAAAATATAAAGAAATGGCTAAGAAAAAAGGTCAACCCAAGTATCCTGTATTTCTTCAGAAGTCTTTGGAAAATAAATTCTATATAGAATCTTCACTCAGAAGATAAAGGAGAGGTCATCTTACCAACTCTCAGCCATCTCTGGCAGATTGGCACAATACCTATAGTAATAAGGCGCTCTCATTACTTTTCTTTGAGCCATAACTCATATCACATAAAATTTACTATTTTAACATCTCAATTCACTGACTTTTCGTATAGTCCTAAGAGATGTTATGCAACCCCGACCACTTTTTAATTCCAGGACACTTTATCACCCCCAAAGAGAAAGCCCATAGTCATTAAGTCACTCCCTATTCCCTGCCATCGCCAACAACCACTAACTGACTCCTGATGGATCTGTCTACTTCAAACTTTCATTTTTCAATTACTAAGTTATAGTTGCCAAATAAAACTTATACACATTTTCTGTGGGCAATGTGATGCTTCGATATATGTATACATTGGGAAATGGTTATATCAAGTTAATTAACATATATCTATTACCTTATATACTCAGCGTTTTGTTGTAAGAACATTTCAAGCTACTCTAAGCAATTTGCAAGTGTACAATACATGATTACTAACTGTAGACCTTATTCACTCTTTCTGATGGAAATCTTCTGCCCTTTGACCAGCATCTCCCATCTCCACCTCCACCTGCCTATTCCTATTGAAGGCTGTCTCTTCCTCT